CTGTGTCCTCTTGGCATTGTCTATCTAGTAGGCAGCTGTGGATGAAGTTGTCGGGATATCCGTTGTTAGCAAATACCTTATGTAGGTGCTCTTCCTCCTTCCTGCTTAGTTCTGGCGTGTTGCAGTGAGTTGCGGCCTGTTTGAATAGTGTCCTAACACGACTTTGTTTGTGGACGTTGGGGTGAGTGCTGTGGAAATTGAGGATTTGTTCAGTGTGGGTGGCCTTCCTGTAAACTGTGATTTGGATCGCCCCGTTGGTCACTCATTCTACCCTGACTTCTAGGAATGGAAGCTGATTGTTGTCTTCCTCTTCGCTTGCAAATTTGATCCTGGTGAAAACGCTGTTGACGAAATGGTGTGTTTCTTCTAACGTGGTGCGTTTAATGATGACAGATGTGTCGTCCATGTATCGGATCCACAGTTTTGGCTGTTTGAGGGGGAGGGTAATGCATTCCAGTCTTTGCATGACTGCCTCTGCAATATGTCCAGGGTTGGGTGACCCCATAGGTATGCTGTTGCTTTGTTTGTATATTTGGCTGTTAAAGATGAAGTGTGTGGTGAGATCGAGTAGTTTGAGTATGTTGTCCTTGCTGATGGAGCTGTTTGGAGTCAGCTACCAGGATACACAAACACCAGCTAGCAGCAAAAAGACAAACTTTCCCTACACTCAGACAATGAAGGCCATCAATTTAACTGGGATAATGCGACTATCCTAGCTCAAGCCAACCACAGACACACATGGGAATTCCTAGACACCTGGTTTTCACCCCGTAATGCAATGAACAAACATAGACCCCATGTACAAACCCGTGCAGAACAAACTGGAAATGACACAACCCGGCTTAACAGACCTGATCATATAAATTCCAAGCAGATTGGAACAACATCGCCTCATCGGAGGCCGCACTGATGATGTTACCTAGCACGGTGATGAAACGTCTGTACAATAACCAGCCAGCTCCGCAAGCAAACCAACAATCTCATCCACAACCCGAGCTACAAATCTTTGCAAGAACCTGAGAGAGCGAGACTGTGTGTGAGAGGGAGAGAGTCTGTGTGTGTGAGTGAGAGAGACTGTGTATGTGTGTGAGTGTGTGTGTGAGAATGAGAGAGAGACCGTGTGCGTGTGAGAGAGAGAGTATGTGTGTGTGTGTGTGAGTGACAGAGAGACTGTTTGTGTGTGAGAGAGACTGTTTGTGTGTGAGAGAGTCTGTGTGTGTGTGTGTGTGTGAGAGAGAGAGAGAGAGACTGTGTGTGTGTCTGTGTGTGTGTATGTATGTGTGTGAGTGAGAGAGAGAGTATCTGTGTGTGTGTGTTTGAGTGAGAGAGAGAGACTGTGTGTGAGAGAGTCTGTGTGTTTGTGTTTGTGTGCGAGAGATAGAGAGTGTGTGTGTGAGAAAGATAGAGAGACTGTGTGTGAGAGAAAGAGTCTGTGTGTGTGAGAGAGAGTCAGTGTGTGTGTGTCTCTGTGTGTGTGTATGTATGTGTGTGAGAGAGTGAAAGAGAGAGAGACTGTGTATGAGAGACAGTCTGTGTGTGAGTGTGTGTGAGAGAGAGAGACTGTGTGTGTGTCTGTGTGTGAATGTATGTATGTGTGTGAGAGAGACTGTGTGCGTGTGAGAGAGAGTATCTGTGTGTGTGTTTGAGTGAGAGACAGACTGTGTGTGAGAGAGAGCGTATCTGTGTGTGTGTGTGAGAGAGAGAGAGAGAGAGAGAGAGAGTGAAAGAGAGAGACTGTGTATAAGACAGAGTCTGTGTGTTTGTGTTTGTGTGCGAGAGAGAGACAGTGTGTGTGTGAGAAAGATAGAGACTGTGTGTGAGAGAAAGAGTGTGTGTGTGTGACTGAGAGAGAGATAGAGAGACTGTGTGTGTGAGAGAGAGAGAGTGTGTGTGTGAGAGAGAGATAGACAGACTATATGTGTGTGGTCGTGTGTGTCTGCGTGTATGAGTAAGCAAAAGTATGTTTGTGTGAGTGTGTGTGTATGTGAGTGTGCATATTCATGTATAATGAATTTGAGTGTGAGTGTGTGGGAGTGTGTGGAACACAGAATGACAGGGTGAGAGTATGTCATGGATAAACATCACCTACTGCGGTCTGAGCCACCTGGTCTGCAAGTTTTTCATATGCTGCCAGCTCCTGGAACACAAAGAACCAGTAGAATAGCAATTACTTCCAGAGGCGTGCACTAAACCTGTGGGCATGTGGGTTCGAATCCCACCACAGCTCCTGGTTGATATTTAAATTCAAGGAATAAAATCTGGAATTGGAAACTAATGGGTTCAGTAATGGGGAAGAAAATCTGTCATCCTCCAGTCTAGACCCCCACATATACATGAACACACACACCTATTCCCAGAGATACTCTTGTGAGCACAGACTCACACTCATAGCCACAAACACACACACATTCTGTTAGAGACACACTCACACACCCACTCTCATTCACATTCACGCACATACTCTCACACGCTCTCTATCTCTCACACATGCTCTCTCACTCGCATATGCTCTCTCACTCACATTCATTCTCTCTCTCATTCACTCTCTCACACTCTCTCTCTCTCTTGCTCACAAACTGTTTCTCTCTTACACACACAAACACTCTTTTGCTCACACACTCTCTCACACACAGAGGCACTCACACTTTCTCTCACACACACACAAACACTCTCTCACACTCCCACACAAACACTCACACACACACATGCTCTCTCACATACACAAACACACACTCTCACATTCTCTCTCTCACATACACACACAAACACACTCTCACACACTCTCTCTCACACACACACAAACAAACACACTTGCACACACACACTCACACACACACTTGCACACACACACTCACACACACAAACACACTTGCACACACACACTCTCACACACAAACACACTCTCACACACACACTATCACACACTGTCTCTCTCATACACACCCTTTCACATTCGCATTATCTCCCAAACACGCTGTTTCTCTCCCACACACACACACACACACGCTCTCTCTCTCTCTCACACAGACGTGAATGTGTACAGAAACACACCTTGTTTGTATAACCAGTCCCTCTTCGGCAGAGTAATCAGGGGCTGGCAACATTTTGGAGACCAAGAACCAATAAAAATCCAACCTGCATTTACTCACAATCCCTTTCCACGCTGTAAACTGTGGAAGGTTCAGAGGTTCTCTATTCCCTTCCCCCCTCCACTACCCCCAGCCTGTCTCGGCTAAACCAGTCACATCTCAAACTATTGTCAGGGCTGGTCAAAGGAAATCTAACAGAGAGAGGGCCCTGCTTTCCCCCTAACTACAGGGGCTGCAGACTTTGTGAAAGTTTATAAGATTACCCTTGAGTTCCCTGGGAAGGGGAAGGGAAGGGAGGGGAGGGGAGGGGAGGGGAGTTGCTGAAGACAGACCTTGATCATTCGGACAATCTGTTCGCTGTCCTCAGGCCTGGCTTCCCGCACCGTGAAGGTCATCGTTTCACTGAGCTCTACTGGAACAGTCCCACTCTCTCGCTCCCACACACTCTCACTCTCACACGCTCTGCTGCTCTCTCACTCCCACCCCACTACCCCACTCTCCCGCTCTCACTCCCACACTCTCCCGCTCTCTTACTCCCACCCTCTCAATCCCACTCCCACACTCTTTGTCTCTCACTCCCACACTCTCTCAATCCCAACCTCTCTCAATCCAGCACTCTCTCTCTCTCACTCCCACACTCTCCCACACCCTCAATCCCACACACACAGTCTCTCAATCCCAACCTCTCTCACTCCCACACTCTCTCTCACGCCAAAACTCTCTGTCTCTCACTCCCACACTCTTTCACTCTCACTCCCACACTCTCAATCCCATATCCACACTCTCTCAATCCCAAACTTTCTCAATCCCATTCTGTCACTCCCACGCTCTCTCACTCCCTCTCTCTCTCTCTCAATCCCACACAAACACTCTCTCAATCCCACACACACTCTCTCAATCCCACTCTGTCACTCCTACACTCTCTCACTCCCACACTCTCTCTCTCAATGCCACACTCTCTGTCTCTCACTCCCAAACACTCTCTGTCAATTCCGCACTCTCTCAATCCTGCACCCTCTCAATCCCATACCTACACTCTCTCTCTCACTCCCACACTCTCCCTCAGCAGTGACCCTCCGACAGTGCCCGCTCCCTCAGCGCTGACCCTCCGACAGTGCCCGCTCCCTCAACACTGATCCTCTGACAGTATGGCCCTCCCTCAGCGCTGACCCTCCGACAGCGCCCGCTCCCTCGGCGCTGACCCTCCGACAGCGCCCGCTCCCTCGGCGCTGACCCGCCAACAGTGCAGCACTCCCTCGGTGCTGACCATCCAACAGTGCCCACACCCTCAGCGCTGATGCTCTGACAGTGCCTGCTCCCTCAGCACTGACCCTCCCTGACGATGTGGTGTCCCTCACCATGATCTCATTGAAGGCTGGATCAGACCCGATGGAGGCACCTCTCCACCTTCTCCGGGGGGTAATTAGGGATGGGCAATAAATACTGGGCCTAGCCCATGGTGCCCAAATCTCCTGAATGTATATTTTAATAAAAAATGGTGGAAGCATTGAAAGTGGTAATGACGAAGTGAATGAATTTGACCCAGAAATGCAATTAGATTGCAACTGGCACAGACTTAGAAAACAAGCATTGAAAATAGAACCAGGCCATTCAGCCCCTCAACCCTGCTCCACCATACAAATAGGATCAGGACTGAAACTCATATCTCAACACCTTTACTCCCAGTCTCTCCTCATATTCCTTTTGTCTCTGGACATCTATCAATTTCTTTCCAAAATTTTCTTTCTAAGCTTGGCACAGACCACTTTCTGTGGCAGAGAACTCCCCAATCTCTGGCTCTGGCAATTTCTCCTCATCTCAGTCCTACCCCTTCTCCTTTCAGCTGTGACTCTCCCCCCCACAACACCCTTGGGTGCCAGATTCCCTCAACGAGGGGGATAATGTCCTAGTTGTGGCCAGCCCCGTTAGAATTTTGTACATTTCAATCAGACCCTCCCCCTCTCTCTCATTGTCCCAAACTCCTGTGAATTCAGTCGTCTCAAACTCTCCCTGTGAGGCAAACGTCCCATCGCTGTGTGGACGGTCTGGAGTCAAGTGTAGGTCCAGACCAGGTAAGTCGACAGATTTCCTTCCACCCTTTAGTGACCACCCAGTGGGGTTTTTAACCACAATCTGGTTGCGATTTATTGAGTCTCGCTTCCAATTCCCCGTTTAATCAATTTCAATGAATTGAAACTCCCCACGGCTGCGGTTAAAGGATTTGAACTCACTATTCTACCTAATAGTCCAGGCATCCGGGTCTCTGGTCTCCAGTGCTTTGGCTGAAGGAAAGAAAACAGTTCACAGAAACATCGGAAGTAGCAGCAGGAGTAGGCCATTCGGCCCAGGAGCCAACTCCGCCACCCAATACTATCGTCCAACTTAGTCCCCGCTCTCTCTCTCTCTCTTTCCCCATCCCCTTTAAACTGCGACCCCGCCTGGTTCTGGTCTCTCCCCATTCACTGGGAACATCCTTCCCCCCGTCTAGTCCTGTCAGAATTTTACAGGTTTCTGTGAGATTCTCTCCTTCATTTATCTAAACTCCGGCGAATATCATGCTAACCGGTTCCCCAGTCTCTCTTCGTATGTCAGTCCTGCCATCCGAGGAATCAGCCTGGGGGAACCTTCGCTGAACTCCCTCCATCGCCAGGACATCCTTCCTCAGATACGGAGACCAAAACCGCACACAATATTCCAGATGTGGTCTCACCAAGGCCCTGTACAATTGCACCAAGACAGCCCATGCTCCTGTACACAAATCCTCTTGTTATGAAGGCCAACATGTCACGCCTAAGATCTTAAGACAGTTTTGAGTCTTGTGGTTTACAGATGGCTGAATGGACACATGAGGACCTACCGATCCGAAACATCAACGTTCCTGCTCCTTCTCTGATGCTGCCTGGCCCGCTGTGTTCCTCCAGCTCCACACTGCGTTATCCCGTATTCCTCACTCTGTTCTGTTACCCTAAAGCACTTTGTATGGTATCATCTAACTGTGCTGCATGCAAAACAAAACTTTTCACTGTACCCAGGTACACGTGACAATAATAAAATCACATCAATCCCTCCATACCCTCCAAACGGCCTAATGAACCTTCTCCGAACTGCCTCCAATGAAACGATACCTTTCCTTAAATAAAGGGAGCAAAACCGTTCACAGTGCTCCAGATACGGCCTCACCCCAGCATCTTGGACAGTTGCAATAAGCCTTCCCTCTCTTACACCCAAACCCCCTTGGAATCAGGGCCAACATCCCCATTAGCCCTTCCCAATTCCCTGCTGCCCCTGTGATCCCTTCGGGTTGCCAGCTCTCTGCAGTTCTTTTCCAGGGAAACCTTTACGAACGAAAGCCTTTGTCCAGCGATTGGAGGTGGGAAGGAGGCAGGTGCCCAACAAATATCAGGCACACACCAGACTCAACCAGGCTCAGAGAGAGAAAGAGACAGCCGGCCTTTCGGATGGACTCTTGTGAAGTTCTTCCCTCAGCCTTTTATCACATCCGAGTCATTTCTGTAAACAGCTTTTTGTTTTTTTTAAATAATGAACCCACAATGAGGCCGAAGCTATCAAATCCTGTTCCTCTGCATTTCTTAAATCACTGGATACCCATCAATCAGTTATCGCGTCTTCTGGAAGGGTCTAATTTCAGACATTTGATATCAATAGTGGGCAGAGGCAGCTTTACTCTGTATCTAACCCCATGCTGTCCCTGACCTGGAGTGTTTGATTGGGCATGAGGGGTGTTGGTGGAGGGAACAGTGTACAGGTCACCTTGCTCTCAGTATCATAGAATCCTTACAGTGTGAGAGTGGGCCATTCAGCCCACTGAGTCCACACCAACCCTCCGAAGAGCATCTCACCCAGACCCACCCCCACTAATCCCATGGCTAATCTCCCTAGCCTATGTATCCCTGGATACTACAGGGTAATTCAGTATGGCCAATCCACCCTAACCTGCACATCTTTGGATTGTGGGAGGAAACTGGGGCACCTGGAGGAAACCCACAAAGACACGGGGAGAATGTGCCAACTCCACGCAGACAGTCACCCGAGGATGGAATCGAACCTGGGTCCTTGGCACTATGAGGCAACAGTGCTAACCAATGAGCCACGTGCCACCCTTGTCCTACACATCTCTGCTACCCCTCCCCTTGCCCCTCCAATACCCCTTAACCTCAGTCCCTCCACTTACCCCTCCCACACCCCTCCCCCTCACCTTCTACCACGCACCCAAACCCCTCCCCTTACCCCCTCCAACTCCCCCTTACCCCAATCCCCCCACCTACCCCTGCCCTACCTCTTCCCCTCACCAATTCCCCTTTACCACAAGCCCTCCACTTACCTATCCACTACATCTCCATTCACCTCCAACCCTCACCCAAACCCTTCCATTTACCCCTCTTCTACCCTCTCCCCTACCTCTCTCCCCTCTCCCCCCCACTCCCCCCTACCCCTCCCCAACCCCCCCCCTCCCTCTACCCCTCCCCCCTTACCCCTCCCCCTCCCCTTTACCCCAAACCCTGCATTTACCCCTCTCCTACCCCTCCCCTTACCCCAAAACCTCCATTTTCCCTCTCCCCCACCCTTTTACCCCAAACCCTGCATTTACTCCTCTCCTACCCTTCCCCTTACCCGTCCCCTCCATTTACCCCCCTCCCCTACCCCTCCAACGCCCACTTACCCCCCAACCTCTCCCCTTACCCAGACACAAAAGTTGGGGAGATGCGCGCAGGTGTCCCCTTTAAGGGGTCGATCTCTCCGCGCTCGGCTAGCCGCGCCTGGAGGACCGGGAGGCGGCAAGCGGCGGGTCCTCCAGGGCGGCGGGAGGAGCGCGGAGAGGGTCGAGCGGGAGGAAGGCGCGGGGCCTGGAGTCGGGCGAGAGGCGCAGGGAGAGAGGCCGAGGCTGAGCCTGAGGCTGAGGCCCGGGGCCAGAGGCGCACACACAGAGAGACAGAGCCCGGGGGGGGGGGGGGGGGGGGGGAAAGACGGTGGCGGCGGCGGAGGACAGCACCGAGAGCGGGCACGATGTCGCGGATGAACCGCCAGCAGGATTACAAAGCCGGGGACCTGGTGTTCGCCAAAATGAAGGGTTACCCGCACTGGCCGGCACGGGTAAGCCGGGGCGGGGTTAC